GAGAGAGAGAGAGAGAGAGAGAGAGAGAGAGAGAGAGAGAGAGAGAGATGCGGGATATTCGGATGCTGCATCAGCTTGTTAGGAAAAGAGATACGAAGAGAGAAGTATCTCATAGAGCGCATTCTTTTCGGCCGCGGCGCCGTTCACATATTGGCGTATGTTTTCAGCGCGATTCAATAATCGCGCGGCCATCTTGATTCTCGATCTTTCTACATTTTGCAACCGCTGTGGATACATCGATCGATATCGCTCCGCATTTTACGCGTCTTTAACCCGTCGAAAGTGAATCTCGCGCGGAAATAAGTGTCGGGAGTATCGAGAATAGCGATGTGCGATCGCGCTGGGGCGTATCGTGAGGACATTATTTATAAGTAATCTTCTTGTTTCTCCTCGCGATATATGGAAGGTGACCAGATTTCCTGAATTCGGGACACTTCATAAATGTATGAAGCGGGAGGAGGGGAGTAAAAAAATCCGAAAATTATTTAATAATCATTGAAAACAAATAATCATTGATGACAAATCGATGTTCCGAATAGCACTCGAAAAAATTCGGGACAAAGGGTGAAAAATCGGGATTATCCCGAAAAAATGGGAACGTCTAATCACCTTAAAGTAAAATATAATAACATAATTATGCTATAATTTTGTTCTCTAATTATTAGATCTACATTGTACCGTACTCTCATTAAAATTTAATAATCAGCAGTCGCACAATATGCCAAAATATATAAATGCGTGTAGTAAATAATAAAATATTGTAATATAATATATGATATTAATGTTTCATCGCATGCACGCGTAAAATTCTAGAATAAGTAACAGAACAGAGTTTTTGTTTACTCCTCGACACGTTGAATACAGCTTTTGTTTATAACTCGATACGTTGAGTAGAACTTTTGTTTACGTCTCGATATGTCAGAAATCACGTGATCTTTGAAATAAAAAAAGTTTGTATTCGAATGGCTATGCTCATAACAGTAGTTGATACGAAGGCGAACGTAACAAACACCGCAGCGCACCTAATCAAAAAAACTATTTAAATTAACTATTTCTTTAGAGTTCCGGGTTGTTTTACAATAGTTCTAGAGTTCTATATCATATATAACAATAGTTTTAAAGAAATAGTTGATTTTACTGATTAAGTGCGCTTCGAGAACTTAGCGCACCTAATCAAAAAAACTATTTAAATTAACTATTTCTTTAGAGTTCCGGGTTGTTTTACAATAGTTCTAGAGTTCTATATCATATATAACAATAGTTTTAAAGAAATAGTTGATTTTACTGATTAAGTGCGCTTCGAGAACTTAGCGCACCTAATCAAAAAAACTATTTAAATTAACTATTTCTTTAGAGTTCCGGGTTGTTTTACAATAGTTCTAGAGTTCTATATCATATATAACAATAGTTTTAAAGAAATAGTTGATTTTACTGATTAAGTGCGCTTCGAGAACTTAGCGCACCTAATCAAAAAAACTATTTAAATTAACTATTTCTTTAGAGTTCCGGGTTGTTTTACAATAGTTCTAGAGTTCTATATCATATATAACAATAGTTTTAAAGAAATAGTTGATTTTACTGATTAAGTGCGCTTCGAGAACTTAGCGCACCTAATCAAAAAAACTATTTAAATTAACTATTTCTTTAGAGTTCCGGGTTGTTTTACAATAGTTCTAGAGTTCTATATCATATATAACAATAGTTTTAAAGAAATAGTTGATTTTACTGATTAAGTGCGCTTCGAGAACTTAGCGCACCTAATCAAAAAAACTATTTAAATTAACTATTTCTTTAGAGTTCCGGGTTGTTTTACAATAGTTCTAGAGTTCTATATCATATATAACAATAGTTTTAAAGAAATAGTTGATTTTACTGATTAAGTGCGCTTCGAGAACTTAGCGCACCTAATCAAAAAAACTATTTAAATTAACTATTTCTTTAGAGTTCCGGGTTGTTTTACAATAGTTCTAGAGTTCTATATCATATATAACAATAGTTTTAAAGAAATAGTTGATTTTACTGATTAAGTGCGCTTCGAGAACTTAGCGCACCTAATCAAAAAAACTATTTAAATTAACTATTTCTTTAGAGTTCCGGGTTGTTTTACAATAGTTCTAGAGTTCTATATCATATATAACAATAGTTTTAAAGAAATAGTTGATTTTACTGATTAAGTGCGCTTCGAGAACTTAGCGCACCTAATCAAAAAAACTATTTAAATTAACTATTTCTTTAGAGTTCCGGGTTGTTTTACAATAGTTCTAGAGTTCTATATCATATATAACAATAGTTTTAAAGAAATAGTTGATTTTACTGATTAAGTGCGCTTCGAGAACTTAGCGCACCTAATCAAAAAAACTATTTAAATTAACTATTTCTTTAGAGTTCCGGGTTGTTTTACAATAGTTCTAGAGTTCTATATCATATATAACAATAGTTTTAAAGAAATAGTTGATTTTACTGATTAAGTGCGCTTCGAGAACTTAGCGCACCTAATCAAAAAAACTATTTAAATTAACTATTTCTTTAGAGTTCCGGGTTGTTTTACAATAGTTCTAGAGTTCTATATCATATATAACAATAGTTTTAAAGAAATAGTTGATTTTACTGATTAAGTGCGCTTCGAGAACTTAGCGCACCTAATCAAAAAAACTATTTAAATTAACTATTTCTTTAGAGTTCCGGGTTGTTTTACAATAGTTCTAGAGTTCTATATCATATATAACAATAGTTTTAAAGAAATAGTTGATTTTACTGATTAAGTGCGCTTCGAGAACTTAGCGCACCTAATCAAAAAAACTATTTAAATTAACTATTTCTTTAGAGTTCCGGGTTGTTTTACAATAGTTCTAGAGTTCTATATCATATATAACAATAGTTTTAAAGAAATAGTTGATTTTACTGATTAAGTGCGCTTCGAGAACTTAGCGCACCTAATCAAAAAAACTATTTAAATTAACTATTTCTTTAGAGTTCCGGGTTGTTTTACAATAGTTCTAGAGTTCTATATCATATATAACAATAGTTTTAAAGAAATAGTTGATTTTACTGATTAAGTGCGCTTCGAGAACTTAGCGCACCTAATCAAAAAAACTATTTAAATTAACTATTTCTTTAGAGTTCCGGGTTGTTTTACAATAGTTCTAGAGTTCTATATCATATATAACAATAGTTTTAAAGAAATAGTTGATTTTACTGATTAAGTGCGCTTCGAGAACTTAGCGCACCTAATCAAAAAAACTATTTAAATTAACTATTTCTTTAGAGTTCCGGGTTGTTTTACAATAGTTCTAGAGTTCTATATCATATATAACAATAGTTTTAAAGAAATAGTTGATTTTACTGATTAAGTGCGCTTCGAGAACTTAGCGCACCTAATCAAAAAAACTATTTAAATTAACTATTTCTTTAGAGTTCCGGGTTGTTTTACAATAGTTCTAGAGTTCTATATCATATATAACAATAGTTTTAAAGAAATAGTTGATTTTACTGATTAAGTGCGCTTCGAGAACTTAGCGCACCTAATCAAA